CTTGATCCACTTAAACATTCTTCCTTGAACTCCTACATCTCAGACCTTCTGTAAAGGCCCCCTGTGTGGGACACTATCAAAGGCCTTCTTGAAGTCAAAAATATGACATCCACTGAATAACCCTCATCGATGGCCCTTGTCCATTTCTAGTGCGAATAAAGAACATGCATTAGGCAGGAGCACCCAGGACAAAAGCCATGTTGGGCATCACATAATTTTGTTTTTTCAGGTATTGCATCAAATGTTTTTTGATAATGTGTTCGATTATTTTACACGCGATGCAAGTAAGACTGACGAGACGATAATTTCCGCAGTCACGTTGTGAGCCCCCTTTATGGATCGGAATGATGAATGCGCAGTTCCGTTCTTCCGGAAGTTTGCCTTCTTCAAACGACTTTCGAAATATTGCTGACAGTACTTCACACAGTTCATTATCAAGCTCTCAGTGCTAGTGTGGGAATTCTATTAGGTTCAGGCGATTTGACAGGTTTCAGCCGGAGTAGTTCGGCCATATCTATGGTCGATGAAAAGAGTGGTTCCTCGGTTAAGGAGGGTAGGGAGGGGGTGGGAAGGGGAAGGGTACTAGGAGGATAGGTTGTTTGGTGAACGGATGGATGGGCAAATATAGGACTAGGTTCTCGGGTGAAGACAGAGTGAGGGAAATTATAAAGAAGGGACGCTTTAGCCTGGTCATCAGTCTCCATTTTTCCATCGGCAGACCTAAGGGCAGGGATCAGCTCCTGTGTCTTTTTAGTACTCCGTATATAGTCAGATGGATTTTTCGGATGTTCCGACGAATTTTGCAGTATGTCCAGTTTGAACTTCCTTTGCAGCTTGGAAGCCTCAGTTTTACAGACGTTGCGTTGCTGCTCATATTCCTGTAAGTGTTTTTTGGATCCGGTTAGTCTGTGACGCCTCCACAGACGATTCCTCTTTTTTAAGGAGGCCTCTAGGTCCGAGTTTATCCGCTTTGAGCGGTTTGTAATTGTCTCCTTAGAGGACGAATGGAATAAACAATCTCTTTCAGTAAGCAACTGAAAATATTCCAATTGTCGTTTGCCCGACCATGCAGTTCAGTCTCCCACGATATCACTGCCACTTCTCTCCTCATGAGAGAATAGTCTCCCTTCCAAACGTTCGCCTCCCACCTATCGGGCAGAACTGATTTGGAAAACAGTGAGTACTCCAAATAGAGTTTGATTTGGTCACCCTTCCCTAACGGCGGTCGGTCCTGCAGGTCTAACACATTTTCCTCTTCTCGGGTGAAATTAAATCAAGGCCGTTCGACTGTTGTTCTTATTTGTCATGCGTTTCAAAGGTGACGTTCTGGTAAAGAAGTTTGTTCGTTGCCCATTGTAGTAGTTTTTGATCTAAGTTGCCTTGCGACACTTCTACCACCGATCCCTCCTCACAAATAACCGTGCCGTTCGCTTCTCTCTGCCTACGTTGGCACCTTCCTCGGCCGTCCCCTCATTTGCTCATAGCGATGCTGTAGCAGCCTTTTCTCTGCCCCCTCGTTCGACTATATACGCTCCACGGCTGCTCACGCTATCTCACGATCTGTCTCGCTGCAATTTCATCCACATCACACTCCTGGTCGATCATTTACACTACCCTCGCGTGCTCTCGAAGCCAATCAACGCAACCTCTTTCGCTGATTGGTTACGAGTACACACATTAGATCAGTGGATGGCGACAGCGACTGCACACACACGGGACACGCCCTTGTGGGCGTGACTTTTGCTAGGCAGTACAAAGGCAAAAAGAACACAACAACTTTTTGGTGGTAGCGACACACAGGAGGCACCGCAACCGACACCCTCCAGGACGGACGCTTATCTCTGTCACAAGCAAACAGCCAACTTACGGCGACTTGCCATATGTACAGAAAAACCTGTCCTCACAACTTCCTGACTTGTGTTACTAGTCGGACCAAAATTATTGTATGTGGTTTCAGTTGATCTTACATCCTCGACCACTACAATACGTTCCCCACCAGTTGTTTAGTAGGTATGTCAGCGTCACCTCATTGCTCAAATAGGTCACTCCCTTATTATAACATATCCCTTTCGCACAATTGACAACTATTATATGTACTCCCAGTTTTCATCTCTTCCTATCATACCTTTATGTCTACCTAAAGTTTCTCCTTTCTTTTCATATGGATAAGTCTTGTAGCGTGTTACTAAGTCTACTAAGATCGGTTTTAACCAGGATCTATTCCTAGAAAGGACCATCAAGCATTTAGGATGCTACCGTCGTCACGTTACCTTATTCGCCCACACTTTACCCTCCATGTACGATTTCGCTTTCCACGATGTCCCAGTTAAAATTTCGCCTTTTTCAGTCCATGCATCGTGTCATTCACAAAGCACTATGTTCTCTATAACTGACCTCTCATAGAAGTAATCTGGGTCATAATGACGAGCACGCCCTAAACTGCCTACGTCTCTTTTGTCCCTAACCCTTATAGGAACTCCGATCTGTCGACGGAGAAGTTGAGATCTTCCTCCATTGTCGGTCTCACCCACCTAAAATCTCCAGGCGCACTATAATGACGCTCCGTTTTTACCTACTGATTTGCCTATATAGCTTCGTCCTACCCTTAGAAGGAGCTCACCCTCAACCTACATATCCTCTTGTAAGGTAGGTTTTCTTCCTGAAGACTTTCAGTATCAGTATCAGTATTGAAATTGAGAGTTTCCTGAACTCTCACCTCACATTTAAGTTCAAGAGTTTCCACCGCTTTGTCCTTAGCTCAAACATCTTTCTAAAAATTTCCAAACTGTAGTTTGTGAATATTATTATAAAAAGTATTTCGCTTATTGTATATGTATATTGTATATGTATATATTGAAGGGTTACAGGCAGAGCCCTTGATGACCCTATTTATGTACAGTGCTTTCGCAGATTCATACTCAAGAATAAAATAAAATTTCAGGCATTTAAAATGTGATTGGGTCACAGTTCAATCGTAATCATAAAGTAGTGCATGGGGTCACTGTAAATTAGTGCGGAAGATTGTATATGACAGATTTTACAAAATTGGCTGTGCATAGTCATGCTATACAAGCCGATTTCTGTCGAAAACTAGACGAGTAAGTTTTCGTTTAAACACACAAACTGTATCAGCCGTCACCATCTCGCTTGGAAGCGAGTTCCACGGCCTGACAACCCGCTGGCTGAATGAAAATTTCGTCGGTCTAAACGCGTGCGCTCATTATCGACTTTGTATGCATGGTCGCGTAGTTGGTTTGTACGGGCGAACTCAAAGAAGTCCTCTGCTCTTAATGAGCAACCCTGGCCGCGAACAATCCGTAACGTCCAGAATAGACTGCAGTTTATTTGTCTATAAGAGAGAGGGAATAGGCCAAGCAAATTCAGCCTCTCCTGATAAGACAAATGTTTCAGACCGTCGATCACCTTTGTCGCTCTGCGTTGCACCTGTTCGAGTAAGTTGATATCCTTCCTCATCCATGGTGAAGCTGCTGGCATTCCATACTCTAGATGAGGTCTTACAAAGACACCAAAGAGTCTTTCGAAGAGTTCAGGAGGAAATATTTTAAATGCACGTCTGATCCAGTGTAGAGTACTATTTGCCTTCTGGACCATCATTCTGCAGTGTTCTGATGGCGATAGATTTGTGGTCGTCGATACACCCAGATCTCTGTGTCTTTCCACAGTTTCTAACCTCGTCCCGTCAATATAGTACTGGTGTTTGGGAGAGGCATTGCGGTCGGTGTTCAGGTGCAAGACCACGCATTTGGACACGCTAAACTTCAAAAGCCATCTGTTCGACCAAGCACACAGTTAGTTGATGTTCGACTGCAACTTCTCTGATGATGACGCAGAGATGTTGCAGTCGAACATCAACAAACTATGTGTTTAGTCGAACAGATGGCTTTTGAAGTTTGAAGGGATAATCGCCGGCGGACGTTAAAAACGCCATTTATTGTACATTTCACAATTTCTAAATTTCAGTCTGCATCAGGCCGTTCACACAGAACATTACTGTCTTCATTGCCTGTACTACATCAATTGACTTAATGTTAAATTATTTTGAATAACGCCCTCATGACGCCCTAAAATAAACCGATCCTCCCAATTTATGGGCCACGGGTAGAGTACTGCTAACGGATGTGGTCTCTAAATTTCTTGCCTGATGTAGAGGTCATGAACAAGTTCTAGGTTTGTCATATGTGTCGGCCTCTTCCGTTTCAACTCTTAGCTACGATTAAAATCTAAATAACATTCACCATTTTAGTTCAGTCCAGTTTATTAAGGGAAATAGGCGCAAGCCTTTGAGTACCCTATTTGCAACGCAAAAAATGTGTGGTATACAGGTAGATGTTCTGGACTGAAATAGTTCGAACACGCCCATACTGGTGGGACAAAATGAGAACGAGTTACAGGGGGTGAGCTCGACTTCTCATCGTTCTTGGTCATTTCGGAACATAAATATGTCCAGATTCTTCTTAAAACTTTGTATAGATGGTGACATCGCAACATCTGGGGGAAGCTCATTCCATGTTTTGACCACCCGAACCGAGAAGGAGAACTTCCGCACATCCAGCCTTGCCTGCTGAGTGCGCAGTTTTAACGGGTGACCTCGGAGGTTGGTCGTGGTAGCGAATTCAAAAAGTCCTCGAAGGCCAGACTGCAATCCAACCCCTTTATAATGCGGAAGGGTTGCAAGAGATCCCCGCAAAGTTGCCTGTAACTCAAAGAAAAGAGGTTCAGATTTACTAGGCAGGCTGCATAAGGAGAGGAGCTTTGACCTCTAACCATCTTCGTGGCTCTCCTCTGGACTCTTTCGAGGCAGTTTTGATCCACAACACCCCACGGCCTCCAAACTTGTATGCTGTACTCTAAATGCGGCCGGACGAATGTTCCTAATGTCCTAGAGAAAGTTTCTTCGTCAAAGTCTATAAACGCACGCTTGATGGCGTACAGTACGGACATTTCGCTTTTTGCCACCCTCGAAAAACGGGCGGATGGTTTTAGGGAACATGCGTCAGCACACCGAGGTCCTTTTGGGCTTCGACCTCTTGTAGAGCTGCACCGCCCAGAAAGTAGCCTCTGGTGCTGGCGGATCTGGCTGTGTTGCCTAGGCGAAGTATGCTACATTTGGCAACGTTGAACCGCAGGAGCCAACGGTTTGACCACTGCTCCAACTGATTCAGGTTCATCTGCAGTCTGTCTTCGTCAACAGGACCCCGAATTACACTCAATATCTTCATGCCCTCCGCAAACATTGTTACTTCGCGATCTAAAGCTCTTGCGACATCGTCCACGTAGATAAGGAAAAAAATGGGTCCCAGCACTGAATCCTGGGGGACACCACTATCGACCATAGCCGGATCTGATTTTCCTCGACCGATGAACACAACCTGGTGTCGACCCACAAGGAAGTTTTCGATCCATTTAATGAAGTTGCCACCGATCCCTATTTTTTTTAGCTTATGTAAGAGTCTTTGGTGTAGTACAGTGTCGAACGTCTTCTGGAAGTCGATGAAGGCTATGTGGACAGCGTGCCTGTCGTCGAGAGCTCGGGTCCAGCTCTGGAGAGATTGCAGCAAGTTTATCGTGCAGGATCTTCCTTTCCGGAACCCATGTTGGCATTTCGATAGCAGGCCGTGAACTTCCAGGAATTGCATAAGTTCACTCTTTATGATCCTTTCCACAACTTTGTAGAGAATGCATGTCAAGCTCATGGGCCTGTAATTTGTCGTCGCTGCCGTGTTACCTCTTTTGTGTAGCGGAGTAATATGCGCCAGCTTCCAATCGATAGGAGGTGTTCCAGTGTCAAATGGCGTTTGAAAGAGCATCGACAAAGGCACAGAGAGCTCACTGGCAAGTTTCTTGAGAAGCCTGGATGGAATCTCGCCTGGTCCTAGCGACTTCGATTCGTTCAATGCCTCTAATTCTCTTCGGACAATGCCTATTGAGAAGAGTATATCACTGACGATTGGAGTCCGCAGTTCTTCTGTGGAGGGAGGAAAGAACCTTGCCTTATTTGTGAAGACTGATTGGAAAAACCGTGAAAAATACGCAGCTTTATCCCTACTATCAGCGATCTCAACGCCATCAGTAGTCTTTATCAAGGGGATTCGATGCCTGTTCCTTGTACTTCGTCGGAGGTAGCTGTAGAGTAATTTTAGGTTCTGCGTTGCTTTTTGTAGCAAGTTCTTCTCGAATTCCCGCCGCGTCTGCATTATCAGCTTCCTCAGTTTGTTCCTCTGTGTCTTGTAGGTGTTGAAGCATTCAGCTTGTCTAGTGACGCAGTATTTTCTCCACAATTTGTGCTTTCTGTTGATTTCTTTCTTGAGGTTGCTATTTAGCCACACAGGACGTTTGTTCAGTCTAACACTAGTCAGTGGGCAGTGGTTGTTGATGAGCTGCAGAAGGACATTCTTGAAAAGCTCCCAGTCATCGTTGGCACTTCCCGTAAACAATGAGCCCCAGTCAAGACCGGATAAGTCTGTCCTCATCTAATTGAAGTCACCCCGCAAAACATTACGTCTTTTGTGGTCTGGAGTATGTGAAATGGAGAATAACGAATAATCCCACATAAGCACTACGTGGTCACTTCGGCCAAGGGGCGGCATGGAGGCAATCTCGTCTATGCTGTCTGGTGTTTTCGTAAAGACCAGATCCAGGCAGTTTGCCCTCTGTCCTTCACGTGTTCTCGTTGGGAACATTACATGTTGTGTGAGGCACGCATTTAAAGTTTTGTTCAACAGACGGGAATCGAATGCCGACTTTGGACCTGACACTTGGAGGGTATTCCAGTTTGTTCCTGGTGCGTTGAAGTCGCCCATGATCATGATGTTCGGTCGACTGAAAATTTCTCCAACTGCACCAATAGTTGAGTGTCGGCGATTCGGTCTGTCCTTGGTGGTCGGTAGACAGTGAGGACATCGAGACACGGGAAACCGGTAGCCTTGATGATCAACCAGATAGCTTCTGTACTGCACGCAAACTTGGTGGTGTTATCCGACACTGCCAGATCTTCTTTCACACACACAACGATACCACCACCCTGACGATGTTCCCTGTCCCTCCGATAAATTTGGTATCCAGGCAAGGCTACTTCGCTAACGCTAATATTCCCGGACAGCCAGGTCTCAGTCACTGCTAAAACATCTGGAGACAGCTCGCAAGGAAAAGTTTTAGTTCGTCTAGTTTCGATATGAGGCTTTGGGCATTCGTGTACATGCACCTCAGTTTTGCACCAGCCGAATTTCCCGTTGCATTTGTTACTGCTGTGAGCATTACTCCGTTATCGCGTACGCCGTATTCTCTAGGCTCCTCCGTTACCTGATTGGTTCCATTTATATGCCTTGTTTCAGTTAGATCACTGGACGTTACAGGCTCACTTGTGTTGGCGCTTTCATCAGGTGGTTCAACGAAGGTGTCTGTTTTAGCTGAGTAGCTGTCGTCGTGCGTAGTATTACAGGCTAGTTCCACTGAAACGGCATATATTTCCGAACTACCTTCCCCTTGAAGATAGCCAAATTGTGTTCACCACCTTTCAGTCTTCATTTTAACTCCAAGACAAGTTCCCGGCGTTTCAGCCGTTCCGCTGGTGAATAGTCCGGTTTAAAAAAAACCTGTTTCTGTGTGTTTCTGAGATCGGTTTTTTTAGAGAGGATAAACTTGATTTGCTTTTTGTTCTCCAGCATAATTTTTAGAGGGCGAGGTGGTTGTGCAGCTGTCCTGTCTGCACTCCTTTTTCCTATACGGAATGCTTTCAGAACCTTTATTTCCATGGCTGCCGGAAGTAACTGATTTAGCAGACCATGAAAAGAAGCAAGGTCCTCTGAGACACGGTCTTCAGGTCTGACTGTATTCGATTCTGACAAACCCTGAATAACCAGACACTGCTGGCGAGCATTTTCCTGCTTACTTTGTCTTTCCGGTAAATGCGCTGCATGTGGGCTCGGAAGATTTACGGAGTCATCGCTTGGACGCACACTTTTACTGTCTACCGTCTGTCCCGAGCAACTCATTGGGGCTGGCTGTGACTTCAGAATCCTGTCATGGCGTTTCCCTCTCCCCTCTTTCCACGAGTTTATGTCTTCGCATTCAGATGCGTGCTCTGTAATGCGCTCGGGGTGATTGCCAGAACAAGAGGGCAACAGTAGACTGGATGACCCAGGTATACCGTCTCCAAGCAGAAGAAAAATACCATCACTTACAGCAAGGGACTTAGGTGAGATGGTTTCCGCGCCAGGTAATTTTTTTGCGACATCGCTTAAGACATCTTGCGTGGGAATCGTGTCTGCCTTTATCGGCGGCTTCGTCTTCATTGTCCTGCTGTTCAACCTTCTGCGGTTTTGGCTACTGAGTTGCAACTCGTGTTTGAAGATTCCCCCGAGGAGATATTTTTTCGCGTTTTTTGCGTTTAGCTCTTCGTTTTTGGGATTCTATCACTGGGGACGCTCTGGTCATTTAGGGTCTGTTTCACAAGCGTCCTTAAATCAACAAGCTCCTTTTCCAGTTGTTCTACTTTGATTTGGATATCTGCGCACCCACCACAAGGCTCGTCTTCGTACCTCACACTTTTTGCGGTAATTACGCCTTTTGCACGCTTTGCTGGTCGTTGGCTGGAGGCGAAGTTAGAGAGAGCACAGGTTCTGGATGCGAAGGACAACTCACCGGACTTATCTTCCAAAGAGGTGTCGTCGCTGGCCGTACTACTGCAGTTAGCTTGCTGAGAATGCATAAACTTCTACGTGATATAATAGGTATAATTTCGCTTTCGATGTTATAACGAATACGTCGGCTTATATATGATGAATTTAAGTGAGTATCCAAAACTCAATAAGTGAAAAAATGCTTAAAATCCGATAAATTTTGTGGAAATTAATCAGAAGCGACCTAGCCCTTTTCAGATCTCGTGGGACTTGAATAACTGCAGACCTTGAAGGATTTTGAGCGATTGGCTTTCTAGGCTGTATATCCGCGATTCGGTCGCGTAGCCAGTTGCATTGGCAGTTGGACCGTGCTGATAAACAAATTGCTCTTAATCCAGGTTCCTGGCGAATTTCGATGTGTGAAAAAATATTCCAAAAATGCACAAATCAATTCTGTACATGCGGTTTCAGTATCAATGTCAGAGACGGTAACTGTAGAATGGTAACCAAGTCGAAATTGTCCCAGTCGGAGCGCAGAATAATTCCGTCGTGCTCAGTCGGCTCAGTCAGTTTCATATTACATAACGTGTAAATAACCGCGGAGTTCGTAGAATAGGGTAAGGTATACACAAGCTAGCTGATACGGGGCAAGATAACCCTCGATGGCACCTAAGATTTGGCTCAAGCCCCAGGCGTGTACGCAAGGTCGATAAATAAGTTTTTGCAGCGTGTCACCAATAATAGATAGAT